GACAGGAGATATGCCGACAGTTGGTCGGTATGGCTTCACATTAAGGAGTCATGGGACAGCCTCCCTTATGGGCTGAAGGGGGAGGTTGTTGGGCTGATGGCTCATATTCAGCCCATGTGGGCTTTATCAGCCCACAGCCCACACCCCCTCTTAACCTAACCCTAATTAAGATTAGGGGGGTGTGGTGGCTATGTTTTAGAGGCAGATTAAAGCTATAAAAAGGCAGCAATGAGGCAGATCTTTGGAGCCACGGGATTCCAAAGAGAAGAAGGAGAACAATGCAGAAAAGGAAGAGAAAGAAAGGGAAGAAGACAATGACAACGCAGAGAGACTGTTCACAATCATCTAGTAGTGTTCTCATCTCAGGTTAGATCAAATCTACAGTAGACTCTTGCTGTGATTACTTGGGGAGGTTTTAGATATTGTGGGCAGTGACGTGATCCTTGTATCCCAGTTATTCTCTTGTGGTTGTTGATAGGGTTTTGGGCAAGAGATTGAGATTTGTATATTCATTATTCTCATAGTGAATTATCTCTAGTTTGCCCCGTGGTTTTTACCCTTCACATTGAAGGGGTTTTCCACGTATATCTTGGTGTTCTGTTTGATTGTGTTTCCATTTTATTCCGCTGCGTATTTTGGTCTTCTAGTATTTGTTCCTATACAAAGGTTATTCCTCTTTATATCCTCATCACTGGTGACCACCAGAAAAGAAGGGATCGTGACGGCCCACGTCCACGAGATGAAGCTGTTGCCTCCGGAGGATGGCTGGTCCCTCCTGTGCAAGAAAGCAACTATGAATGCAGAGGAGGAAAGGAATGCCCAAGATCTCAAGGACATAGGCATGAAGATTGTTGAGAAATGCGGAGGGCTTCCCCTGGTCATCAAGACCATCGGAGGGGTCCTCCGCGATAGAGGACTCAACAGAAATGCGTGGGAGGAAGTTCTCCGCAGCGCCGCATGGTCACGGACCGGGCTTCCCAAAGGTGGGCACGGAGCACTGTATCTGAGCTACCAACCTTCCGGCCCATCTCAAGCGATGCTTTCTCTACTGTGCCTTATTGCGCGAAAACTATGCGTTCCACATGTCGGACATCGTCAGATTATGGATAGCCGAGTGGTTTGTCGAAGCACGAGAAGATGTCACTTTGGTGGAAACAAGGGAGCAATATCCTAGAGAGCTGCTTCATAGGAGCCTTCTACAATCGGAGTCTTACGGTCTGGACTACGATGAGTCTTCCATGATGCATGACCTGCTACGATGGCTCGGCCATTTTCTATCGAGAGATGAGAGCTTGTTCATTAGTGACGTGCTGGAGAACTGCTGCCGCCCCAATGACCACTAAGCTCCCGTCTCTTGTCAAGAAATGGCCGAGTGATCGCAGCAGGTCATACATGGTGCAGCTCCAGCCGACGTACAGATGGTGGGGGTCGAGTGACCACTAAGCTCCTGTCTCATCTCTCGATAGGAAATGGCTGAGCCATCGTAGCAGGTCATGCATCATGGAAGACTCCGATTGTAGAAGGCTCCTATGAAGCAGCTCTCTAGGATATTGCTCCCTTGTTTCCACCAAAGTGACATCTTCTCGTGCTTCGACAAACCACTCGGCTATCCATAATCTGACGATGTCCGACATGTGGAACGCATAGTTTTCGCGCAATAAGGCACAGTAGAGAAAGCATCGCTTGAGATGGGCCGGAAGGTTGGTAGCTCAGATACAGTGCTCCGTGCCCACCTTCGGGAAGCCCGGTCCGTGACCATGCGGCGCTGCGGAGAACTTCCTCCCACGCATTTCTGTTGAGTCCTCTATCGCGGAGGACCCCTCCGATGGTCTTGATGACCAGGGGAAGCCCTCCGCATTTCTCAACAATCTTCATGCCTATGTCCTTGAGATCTTGGGCATCCCTTTCCTCCTCTGCATTCATTGTCGCTTTCTTGCACAGGAGGGACCAGCCATCCTCCGGAGGCAACAGCTTCATCTCGTGGACGTGGGCCGTCGCGATCCCTTCGTTTCTGGTGGTCACCAGCACCCTGCTCCTCGCAAAGGATTGCGGTGCAAGTCGTCCCAGATCTCAGCCCTCCACACCTCATCCAACACCAGCAAGAACTTGTTCCCTTTCAGGAGACCCTCCACCATGGGCTCGAGCAAAGTCCGGCTCTGTGCTCCACCGTGACTTCCCCCGGCGCTGGTGACGATATCCCTGAGAAGATCCGTCTCCGTGAACTCTTGGGACACGAACACCATATGAAGGTGAATGTGAAGGACACAAATATGTTAGAAATTGTACCTTCATGGAGGATTCATTAAGCAATACTGTTTTGTGTTCTTACGACTTTAAGATAAAAGAAAAGAAAAAGAAAAAAAAGACTGGATCGGCTTTGTGTTCTGTTCTTGAGTGGATGATCAGAATCTGAATTGATGGTACTAAATAGCAAGTTCGTGATTCTCAATAATGGACAGAAAGAAAAGATGAGGCAGATTAGGCTTCAAATAAATGCAATTTTCTTCGAATGGTTGTGCTGAGTCCTGTGTTTCATCCCTGTTGTCAAACCCCCTTTTTTTCTCTCTCTTGGAGCTGAAAGAACACAATGGAAACACCAAATCAAAGTGGAGGAAGTTGAGGCCCTCTAACATATTGGATCCAATCTTTAGATAGACAGTGGACAGAGATAAGTAGGATATCACATACCTTTCTTCCTCATTGCTCCCGTAATGACAATGCCACATTAGTTTTCTCCAAGTCAAGAGATCTCTTCAATAGATCAGAGAGACCTTGAAATTTGCATTTGCTTGAAACATTAAAACCTTGAACTGTGCATGAAACAGTTGCCAGAGATCTTTGCTAACTTATTGACATGAGCTGTAGGTTCCTCGATGCATGAATTATTTATATCCTATTGAACTTATACGAAAAAGGGATAGAGTTATCAAATAGAGGAAGAATAGAACAACCTTAAATCTTCTATATTTCTGTCAAAAACTCTTTAAAATTTCAGAAACTCTATGTGTTTCACGACCAACATATGAGATTTATATAGTCTCCAAAAATACATTACATTAATTGTATTCAAAATGAATCATAAATCTTTTCAAGAATCAATAGTCAATTTGACTTATCATTTCCATAGTCATTGAATCAATTTTTCCTCTTGATGCAATGAATCTGCAATGAACATTTCTTTTGATTAAATTAACCTCTTTACGATGCATGAACAAGTTTAATTCTAATATTTTCCCCCATTAAACTTGATCCATCTAACATAGTAAATTTCTTTCGAAGTTGATCCATCTAACAAGTTTAATCCATTTTTCCTCTTGATGCATTGAATCTCTCTCTTGATGCAATGAATATTTCTTTTGATTAAATTAACCTATTTATGATGCATGAACAAGTTTAATTCCAACATTTTTCCCCCCTTA